AGCAGTTGCAATCCCTCCCAGTTTGGTATCATCCGCAAACTTAATAAGCGTACTTTCTATGCCAATATCTAAGTCGTTAATGAAGATATTGAACAGAGCCGGTCCCAAAACAGACCCCTGCGGAACCCCACTTGTTATACCTTTCCAGCAGGATTGGGAACCATTAATAACTACTCTCAGATGCTTTCGGGGGAGGGGGCTGCCGGCCTGGGGCCCTGTTGCTGAGTCCATGGGAGGGGGGGTGCCAGAGCTCCTGGCCCAGGCCCGTCACTGACCCGCTGTGCTGCGCCAGGCCCCGTCTGGCTGGATAACCTGCGCTGCGCTGGCACCGAGCGCTCCCTGGCCGAGTGCCACTCCAACGGCTGGGGCGTGAGTGACTGCCACCACGGAGAGGACGCCGGCGTCGTGTGCTCGGCCCGGCACCCGCCCGGCCCTCGTGCCCCGGGCCCAGCCCCCGGCCTGCAGGTGAGCGGGGACATGGGGCTGCTTGGGCTGGCTGGGGGCGCTTCCCGCCTGGGGCGCCTGCTGCCGGTTGGCTTTGCCCGGCTTTGCCGGGCCAGGAGCTTCCACTAGTCTGACCCCTGTAACCGGCCCGAGCCCCTCCTCCAGGAGCCCCAGCGGCTCCAAGCCCAGGGGGGCAGATCCCTGCTGCAATGGGGGGACTGGCACCTCTGCCAGGGGTCTTGTCTCTTCAACCTGCCCTGCCTGGCCTCTGCTTATCACCAGCCCCCCCGGGCAGTGCAGGGTCTACGCCCCTGCCTGGAGCTGCCCCACTCCAGCACTCCTGCCCCACTCACTGCAGTGCCCCCTGCTGGAGAGGGGTCCGGCCTCCCTGACTGCCGCAGGGGGGGCTGAGGGAGCTGGCTCCCTGCCCCAGTACTCCGGCTGCTCACGGGGGTGAGATGAGGGGGGGCAGAAACAACCCCATTCCCATGGTACTGTCACAATGCGCTTTGCGGATACTGACCGGAGATAGTGTGTGTGTGTGTGTGTGTGTGTGTGCGCGCGCGCGCACCTCCGTACGTGCACCCGTGTGTGCATAGGAGCAAGTGCAGGGTCTGGTTAATGCTGGCCCCTTCCTATTACTTCAGCTCCCACTCCCTCCTATCCCTCCCCTGGCCTTTCCCCACAGCTCTGCTGGCGCCCCTCACTCCCGCCCCGCAGCCCTGGGCATCCTGCCCCCACCCCTCCAGATTCTCACCCATGCGCTGCCCTGCCCTGCTTCCCCCAGCCCCACCCCCGAGTGCTCTCTTCCGCCGTGTGTCCTGGGCCCCCCTCACCCGGTATCTGGCCTGGGGCAGGGAAGGAAGCTGGAAGAGGTGCGGCTCAAGCCAGTCCTGGCCTGGGCGAAGCTGAGCGTGCCCGTCAGCGAGGGCGTGGTGGAGGTGAAGCACGAGGGGCGCTGGAGGCAGGTGTGCGACGCCGGCTGGACCAGGAACAACAGCCGCGTGGTGTGCGGGATGCTGGGGTTCCCCCGGGAGAAGCGGCTCAACACCGGCTTCTACAGGTAGCGCCGGGCGCAGCGGGCGTGCGCAGAGCAGGGCGGGGAGGTGCCCGGGGGGCTGGTCTGATAGGCAAGTCCGGGCCTGCCGGGCTAGGGGGTGTTCGCCAGGGGAGATGCCTGCGGACAGGGCCGTGGGGCTGGCTGGGGGGTGTCGGGGCAGGTCCCCTCGCAACAGTCTGGGGTGCTTAGATGAGATGGCGGGGGAGGGGTCCAAGGTCACAGAATGCTGAGTGTTGCACACGCGTGTGCATTGGTACAAGGGTTGGGTCACGGGGCTCCCTGAGGCGTGAAGTCCTGGATCCAAGGGTAGAAACCAATTTCAGGGCAGGGTGTCTAGGGGGCTGCGGGTGGGGTGGGGCGGAGGGCACAGCGGCCCCTGCGGAGGGGGTGGGGGGCTGCCCATGGCCCTGCTGACCTGCCCTTTCTAACCCTGCAGGAAGCTCTGGAACCTGAAGTTGAAGGATCCCAAGTCCAGGTACGGACCCGTCCCTGCCTGAGCTCCCTCACGTGGGGCCGACCCGCCGGGTGCCAGGCTGCCCACGGGGCACTGGCGGGGGGGGGCGCCCGTCTCACAGGGTGGCGGCCGCACGTAGCTAGGGGTGCCGCTGGGGCCGGGCAGGAACTGGCATGAGCTCACACCCCCCCCCCCCCGGTTCGCAGCCTGCGGAGCCTGAGCCAGAAGAACGCGTTCTGGATCCACCGGGTCGGCTGCCTGGGCACGGAGCCCCACCTGTCCCACTGCCCGGTGCAGGTGTCCCCTGCCGCCCGGCGCCAGCCCGCCTGTGCCCACGGCATGCACGCCGTCGTCAGCTGCGTCCCGGGCGCCGAGTTCCAGACAGCCAAGCCCAAGCCCAAGCCGTTCCGCAAGGGCCTGCGGGCAGAGGTGAGCCCTGGGGGACGGGGGGGCCCCGGGAGAGCCCCTGGCCCCGAGGAACAGGCAGCACCGCAGCGCGGGCGGGAAAATGGTTCCTCCTGGGACTGATGTCAGGAGCACAAACAGCAACGGTTCTGGAGGGGGAGCGAGGCCACAGCGCTGGCTGTGGGGTGGGGTGGGGGGCTCCTGTCTGCTCCAGCCCCGGCCTGTCCCAGCAGGGGGCGCTGGGGGGAGTGGGGCAGGTGGCTGTGGGGGGCCCTGGCTACAGGGAATGGGGTACAGGACAGAGCCTGCCACAGCTCTGAGAAGCGCCCCGTGACAGGCGGGACCCCAGCCATTCCCCGGTGTGGGGGTGTGCGCACGAACACGTCCGGCTCACACCCACGTCGGCCCCTCTCTCGCAGGGGCCCCGGGTGCGTCTCCGGGCTGGCGCCCAGGTGGGCGAGGGCCGGGTGGAGGTGCTGCAGCACGGCCAGTGGGGCACCGTGTGCGACGAGAAGTGGGACCTGCTCGCAGCCAGCGTGGTGTGTCGGCAGCTGGGCTACGGGACGGCCAGGCAGGCCCTGGCGGGGGCCCAGCTGGGCCAGGGTGAGCCAGCCGTGGGGAGCCGTGGTGCTGGGGGCGTGGGGGGAGCAGGACCCCAGGGGCTGTGGTGGGGGGCTGTGTCTCAGGAGCAGTGGCTGGAGAGGATTATGGGCGCGTAGCGGACGAGCAGCTGAGGGGGAGCTCTGGGGCGGCACGGGGCGGCCGGGTCTGGGCTCCCCAGGGGCAAAGGGCGCTGGAACGGAGCAGAACCGGCAGGGAGAACCCAGAGCTTCGGGCTGTGCAG